TGGCCAGTGATTTTAATGCAGGAAAACTGAAATAGTTTTCCCTCATTTCTACCAGCATGTTACCTGTTCAGCTAGAGGGGAAAAAACACACAGAGACGCATAAAATGCTCTCCCTCGCCCTCCATTTGGCAAATCTAACCATAAGTCTACCCTCCTGATTCCTGCTTACAAGCAAAAACTCAAACAGGAGGTTCAAGTGATGCGCTCAATTTGGAAGTGGTCCGATGAAGCGGATGCTAAGCCACAGGACTGTTTCGCATGCACAGACTGGAATATGTTCCGGAATTCATCCAAAGGCATTGAGAAGTTTATCACATCAGTCACCGGCTTGATTAATAAATGCATTGACGACGTCATCCCCACAGTGACAGTACGTACATATCCAAACCAGAAGCTATGGATTACAGGCAACATCCGCACTGAGCTAAAGCCTAGAGCTGCCGTTTTCAAGGAACGGGACACTAATCCGGACGCGTATAAGAAATCCCACTACTCCCTCCGATGAACCATCAAACAGGCAAAGCGTCAATACAGGACTAAGATCAAATCCTACTACACTGGCTCTGATTATCATCAGAAGTGGCAGGGCTTGCAAACTATCATGGATTACAAAGGGATACCCAGCCGAGAGCTGCCCAGTGACGTGAACCTACCAGACGAGCTAAATGCCTTCTATGCTCACTTCGAAGGAAGCAACACTGAACCATGCCCCCATTCCCATCGACGGGGCTGTAGTGGAGCAGGTCAAGAGCTTCAAGTTCCTCGGCGTCCACATCGCTAAGGACCTATCATGGTCCAAACACACCAACACAGTTGTGAAGAGGGCACTACAATGCCTCTTCCCCCTCAGGAGACTGAAAAGATTTGGCATGGGCCCTCAGATCCCCAAAAGGGTCTACAGCTGCACCATTGAGAGCATCTTGACTGGCTGCATCACCGCTTGGTATGGCAATTGCTCGGCATCAGACCGCAAGGCGCTACAGAGGCTAATGCTTACAGCCCAGTACATCACTGGGGCCGAACTCCCTGCCATCCAGGACCTCTATACCAGGCGGTGTCAGAGGAAGGCCCAAAGTCATAGACTGTTCTCTCTGCTACTGCACAGCAAACGGTACCTGAGCGCTAAGTATGGGACCAAAAAGCTCCTGAACAGCTTCTCCCCCAAGCAATATGACTGCTAAATAGTTAACCAATAGCTACCAGGACTGCATTGACCCTTTTTCATTAACTATTTTTGACTCTATGCACACACACTGGACTCTACCCACACACTCACTTACACTCCAACACATACATATTTTTTATTTTACCTTTATTTAACTGGGCAAGTCAGTTAAGAACAAATTATTATTTACAATGACGGCCTACACCGGCCAAACCCGGACAACGCTGGGACAATTGTGTGCCGCCCTATGGGACTCCCAATCACGGCCGGTTGTGATACAGCCTGGAATCGAACCAGGGGGTCTGTAGTGACGCCGCAAGCACTGAGATGCAGTGCCTTAGACCACTGCGCCACACACACACACTCACTCACACATTACACGTACACACAGGCACACATTCGCCACACACACACTTCCATACTTCCACATTCATCACATATGCTGCTGCTACTGTCCATCTATCCTGTTGCCTAGTCACTTTACCCCTACCTATATGTACATATCTACCTCAATTTCTCGTACCCCTGCACATCGACTCGGTACTGGTACCCCATGTATATAGCCAAGCTACAGTATCATTGATCATTGTGTATTTATTCCTCGTGTTACAATGTTTTTTTAAATATTTTTATTATTATTATTATTATTATTATTATTATTATTATTATTATTATTATTATTATTATTATTATTATATATATTTGTATTGTATTCTGCATTGTTGGGAAGGGCCCGTAAGTAAGCATTTCACTGTTAGTCTACACCTGTTGTTTACGAAGCATGTGACAATTAAAATTTGATTTGATTTGACATGTTAATGACCAGGCAGTGGGTAATTAAAGAGGTGATGAGAGACAAGAACAATAGCCCATGTCTACCTGGAATAATGATAAGAGGGGATGGAAAGAAATGAAGATGATAAAAAGACCTGTGAGTAAAAGACGTCAAATAAAGCCATTGATCCGCAAAATAAATTGTAAACTAGTTAGGTGGTGTGACCTATCCCTGGATGCCTGGATCCTATTTCTCTTCCTGTCTCTCAAACTCGGCGTACATTTTTTATGTAAGAGACAACACATGCTTGTAAAGGACAAATCATATTGGGGGAGTGTTGATTGAACACAAGCCCAAATACCCTCAGTCTCTCCTCTACTTAAGGAGGACACATTTGAGCTAAAGCGAATATCCATTTATCACGACATCTCTGGAGCTGCCCGGCAGGCAGGGAGAGATGAGAGCTGGCAATACAGCTGACGGACTGGCAAAGGCCTGCTATTATCCAAGCACAGGCCCCTGTCTCCCCAATGAGCTTCCCCCTGCCTTCCCTTGTTTTGCCTTACCAAGCCTAATGTCCCAGAGGTGACAATGAGGCGCAGGGCAACTGATAGTGACTGTAATTAAAAGGGATGATTAAAGTGACAGAAGGAGGGCACCCAGGGAGAAAACAACATTCAGGAGAGAGAGGGAGTGATAGAGGCAGAGCGGTAAAAAAGGAATCATGTCAGATCACTCCTCGAGTTAACAGGAGAGCCGGATAAATAGTTTTTCCTCAAGTCACTTCAATTGGGGCAAAATCTCTAAAGGGCTGCCATCACAGAAGACCTAGAAAACTGTATTTTCTGCGGGAATAATGGTTGCCCGTTCCATTCAATGCCCACAAGGTAGTAACAATTTAAATCTGAATATTTGAGGGTGATGCTTTCCAAGTGTGTCTATTGCATTTGACAACTCAACAACTTGAATTAAAATCAATTGCAAAGCCAATAGCTTCTGAAAACTGAAGCCAAAAACAAACGCATCACTTTTAATTAGGGAGATACTCTAGACAGATCTTAGAGTTAAGTTAATCTGACATTGTGTCCTTTATGTCCAAATACAAACTGACACTACCGTTGCTATTTTTTTCCAGTTCTATTTAATTCTTTATTTATTCATTACATTCATACAGAACATCTTATGTGATAACTCAAAATGAAAATATATTGTTGATTCTTCTGCTTGTAGTAAATAAATTAGATCAAGGGAAGTGCCAGTCGCTGTATGCTTGAATTATTATACAAATGACAGTAAGTGCTTTGCGAGAGTCCTTTTGGCACACAAAGCACTATGGCGCATTATTTTCTCTGTACATATGCCCTGGCATAAACAATGTTAGCACGACAGAAAAAAAACGACAGCATTTAACCCTTTGTAAATTAAAAGGTTTTGACAGATGGAAGGAGAAGAAACAGCAGGATATATTTTGGACTAGAACCAACAGAACTCAACCCAAGGCAGCATAAGTCACACTGGACAGTGGGTCACCTTGATCCAACTTCCAGTCACATGAATGATGGGATGTCAAACTCAAGAACTTCTATCAAAAATGTTCTAATATATTGACAAAATAGTATAATGACAGCTCTAACAATGGAAATACATGTCCTCAAAGATGGAAGGCAGGTGGGAAGAGGTGTGATCAGGTGGGACCATTTTAGCCAATGAGAGTAAAGATATGTGTGAACAACAGGCACAACTGATATGAAGCAGTTTTTTTCAAAGTTGCCGAAATGCCACATGCTCCACATACAGTGGGCAGTGGTGTAAAGTACTTATGTAAAAATACTTTAAACTACTACTTAAGTAGTTTTTTGTGGTATCTGTACTTTACTATTATATTTTTGACTACTTTTACTTTTACTTCACTACATTCCTAAAGAAAATAATGTACGTTTTACTCCATACATTTTCCCTGACACCCAAAAGTACTTGTTACATGATGAATGCTTAGCAGGACAGGAACATTTTCCAATTCCCCCACTTATCAATAGAACACGTGATGATCCCTACTGCCTCTGATCTGGCAGACTCACTAAATATAAATGCATTGTTTGTAAATGATGTCTGAGTGGTGGAGTGTTTTAAAAACAAGAAAATGGTGCCATATGCTATGCTTAATATGAGGAATTTGAAATGATTTATACTTTTACTTTTACTTTTGATACATAAGTATATTTTAGCAATTACATTTACTTTTGATACTTAAGTATATTTAGAACCAAATACTTTTAGACTTTTACTCAAGTAGTATTTTACTGGGTGACTTTCACTTTTACTTGAGTAACTTTCTATTAAGGTATCTATACTTTTACTCAAGTATGACAATTGGGTACTTTTTCCACCATTGACAGTGGGGTCCAAAACTACTGACACCCTTGATAGGGATGAGCAATAATGACTGTATGAAATAAATTATTCAAATACTGAGCTATATTGTATGCTCCAAAAAAGGAGGAAATTATATTATTTTTGTTTTAACAAGTAATACATGTAATAATTTCTATTGAGCACACAATTATCTGAAACACAACCAAAATGAACTGCAAATGCATCCAACAAGTTTGTATAGTCACAAGCTTGATGTAGTGATTGCGTGCTAGGAATATGGGACCAAATACTAAACCTTTCACTACTTTATTTATAAGAATCTTTATGGGTGTCAATAGTTTTGACCCCTACCTTTTTGAGAAAAAATAGTATTACTTGTAAAACAAAATCTCTTTCTCTGAGCAATTTTATTAGTATAAAATAATATAATTTCCATTTTATGTTAGCATACAATACGTATAGCTCCGTATTTGAATTATTTATTTTATACGCCCACGTACTTTCTCTTTCTCTTCTACTCCAGTAGCTGGACGCAACTCTGGCCTGGTGGGAGTGTTGCCACCGTGTCGTCTCTCCACAGTCGACTGGTCGGTGCTCTGCAGGGATCCCTCCCCTGTAGAATGGAGTTAATAGGTTGCATCTGGGTGACTTAGTGGATGTTCCTATTCTTGACCCTACCAACCACCCATGAAGGCACGTCACTCGCCGTGGAAGTTGAAAGCAGAGGCCTTTGGCAATAGGGGCCTCCTTGGCAATGGGAAGGCCGGACCGGATACAGACTTCAGACAGCTTCGCCAGGATCGGATCCTGAGGTACCTGCGAATTAGTCCTCTGTTCTGTCTCCGTCTCCGGTGGCTTCTACCTCGGGTTCAGATCCTCAGAGCTCCCACCCTCATCAGACAGTGAGGGTGTCTGAGACTCCAGCCCCTTCATCAACCACAATGGATTTACGGCTGGCTCGGGTCCATCGGGCCCCACCTCCCATCGGTCCTCAAGTGGTCTTCTAAACCACTCAAGGTGAAAGAATGGCCGGACCTCCTCAGCCATTTCACCAGCTGTCGTCATCGGCAGCTCTATGGTGAGAAACATCTCGGTTCCCGGGGCAAAAACCCTGTGCTATCCTGGAGTACGAGTACAGGACATTACAATGCTGCTTCCTACTGTTCTACGACAGCTGTTGAGGGCTGACGCTGTCGTAGTCCATGTGGGGTCAAACAACATTAGGAGGGCTTGGAACTGCTGAAAATGAATTTTAAAGAATTGATTCTAGCTCTGAAAGATTATTTCAGGCCTGGTGCCAACGCTGGGCCGCGGCTGTGAAAGATTCAGCAGGCTACTGGCATTACACACTTGGCTAAAACAATACTGTAGCTCTGTTGACATAACTTTTATTGATAACTTTGACACCTTTTGGAAACAGAAGATGCTCTACAGGAATGACGGAGTCCATCCAAATCATCTTGGCTCCTGGACCCTGTACGCGCATTTCAAGGCTGCGGTGAGACAATGACTTATCAGCGACCCAAGCCCTGCACAGATGATCCCTACCATTGTGTTGCTGAGTTGTCAAAGTTCTGCTGCAAATGTAAATTGTCCCAGGGGCATTGGCAGTCATAATGTAAGTAACCTAATTTATGTCCCTCTAACTCCCCTGAATACCTCTGTAATTCTACAGCTATTGTATGCAATAATAATAATAAACCTGAGTTATACTGTTTGCACTGAGGCGGTTTGCCCTAGTAGGAAGTCCACTGTGTGCAGCTTACGCTCCACTATCAGCTCAAACATAAATATCACTGTCATGTCTACCTCTGATAAGCCTCCCAGCAAAGCAATAAAAACAATCAAGAATCCAAGAAAAGTGCTAGAAATAGCCCACATTAACATATGTAGCTTAAGAAACAAGGTTCATGATATCGATAACTTGCTAGTAAGAAATAACATTCACACATATATGTATATATACAGTTGAAGTCAGAAGTTTACATACACTTAGGATGGAGTCATTAAAACTTGTTTTTCAACCACTCCACACATTTCTTGTTAACAAACTATAGTTTTGGCAAGTCGGTTAGGACATCTACTTTGTGTATGACATAAGTAATTTTTTACAGACAGATTATTTCACTTATAATTTAATTCCAGTGGGTCAGAAGTTTACATACACTAAGTTGACTATGCCTTTAAACAGCTTGGAAAATTCCAGAAAATGATGTCATGGCTTTAGAAACTTCTTATAGGCTAATTGACATAATTTGAGTCAATTGGAGGTGTACCTGTGGATGTATTTCAAGGCCTACCTTAAAACTCAGTGCCTCTTTGCTTGACATCATGGGAAAATCAAAAGAAATCAGCCAAGACCTCAGAAAAAAAATTGTAGACCTCCACAAGTCTGGTTCATCCTTGGGAGCAATTTCCAAACACCTGAAGGTACCACATTCATCTGTACAAACAATAGTACACAAGTATAAACACCATGGGACCACACAGCCGTCACACCGCTCAGGAAGGAGACGCGTTCTGTCTCCTAGAGATGAACGTACTTTGGTGCGAAAAGTGCAAATCAATCCCAGAACAACAGCAAAGGATGTTATGAAGATGCTGGAGGAAACAGGTACAAAAGTATCTATATCCACAGTAAAACGAGTCCTATATCGACATAACCTGAAAGGCTGCTCAGCAAGGAAGAAGCCACTGCTCCAAAACCGCCATAAAAAAGCCAGACTACGGTTTGTAACTGCACATGGGGACAAAGATCGTACTTTTTGGAGAAATGTCCTTTGGTCTGATGAACCAAAAATAGAACTGTTTGGCCATAATGATCACGGGGGTGGCAGCATCATGCTGTGGGGGTGCTTTGCTGCAGGAGGGACTGGTCCACTTCACAAAATAGATGGCATCATGAGGAAGGAAATTGATGTGGATATATTGAAGCAACATCTCAAGACATCAGTCAGGAAGTTAAAGCTTGGTCGCAAATGGGTCTTCTAAATGGACAATGACCCCAAGTATACTTCCAAAGTTGTGGCAAAATGGCTTAAGGACAACAAAGTCAAGGTATTGGAGTGGCCATCACAAAGCCCTGACCTCAATCCTATAGAACATTTGTGGGCAGAGGAGAACTGAAAAAGCATGTGCGAGCAAGGAGGCCTACAAACCTGACTCAGTTACACAAGTTCTGTCAGGAGGAATGGGCCAAAATTCACCCAACTTATTTTGGGAAGCTTGTGGAAGGCTACCCGAAACGTTTGACCGAAGTTAAACAATTTAAAGGCAATGCTACCTAATACTAATTGAGTGTATGTAAACTTCTGACCCACTGGGAATGTGATGAAAGAAATAAAAGCTGAAATAAATCATTCTCTCTACTATTATTCTGACATTTCACATTCTTAAAATAAAGCGGTGATCCTATCTGACCTAAGACACATAATTTTTACTAGGATTAAATGTCAGGAATTGTGAAAAACTGAGTTTAAATGTATTTGGCTAAGGTGTATGTAAACTTCCGACCTCAACTATATATAAATATATATATATATATATATATATATATATATATATATATATATATATATATATATATATACAGTGAGGGAAAAAAGTATTTGATCCCCTGCTGATTTTGTACGTTTGCCCACTGACAAAGACATGATCAGTCTATAATTTTAATATAGGTTTATTTGAACAGTGAGAGACAGAATAACAACAAAAATGTTATAAATTGATTTGCATTTTAATGAGGGAAATAAGTATTTGACCCCTCTGCAAAACATGACTCAGCAGGCGATCAAATACTTTTTTCCCTCACTGTATATATATATATAAATAGTTTTTGCGACTGCACTTGAAGAAACATTCATAGTTCTTGAAATGTTCCGTATTGACAGACCTTCATGTCTTAAAGTAATGATGGACTGTCGTTTCTCTTTGCTTATTTGAGCTGTTTTTGCCATAATATGGACTTGGTCTTTTACCAAATAGGGCTATCTTCAGTATACCTCCCCTACCTTGTCACAACACAACTGATTGGCTCAAACGCATTACAAAGGAAAGAAATTCCACAAATTAACTTATAAGAAGGCACCCCTGTTAATTGAAATGCATTCCAGGTGACTACCTCATGAAGCTGGTTGAGAGAATGCCAAGAATGTGCAAAGCTCTCATCAAGGCAAAGGGTGCATTTTGATTTGTTTAACACTTTTCTGGTTACTACATGATTCCATATGAGTTATTTCATAGTTTAGATGTCTTCACTATTATTCTACAATGTAAGAAATTGTAAAAATAAAGAAAAACCCTTTAATGAATAGGTGTGTCCAAACTTTTTACTTGTAATGTATATATACTCACCATCTCTGAAATTCACTTAGATAATACACTTATACTTATATGATACAGTGGTAGCAATACATGGTTTCAACATCTTCAGAAGAAACAGGAATGCCAATGGTGGAGGTGTTGCTGTGTATGTTCAGAGTCATATTCCTGTTAAGCTTAGAGAGGATATCATGTCAAATGCTGTTGAAGTAATATGGCTACAGGTTCACCTGCCTCACCTAAAGCCTATTGTTGCGGGAAGCTGCTATAGACCAACAAGTGCTACAGTGGCAAGCGAAAGTATTCACTCCCCTTGGCATTTTTCCTATTTTGTTGCCTTAAAACCTGTAATTCAAATTTATTTTTGGGGGGTTTGTATCATTTGATTTACACAACATGCCTACCACTTTGAAGATGCAAAATATTTTTCTTATAAATCAAACAACAAATAAGACAAAAACAGAAAACTTGAGCATGCATAACTATTCAACCCCCCCCCCCCCCCCCCAAAGCCAATACTTTGTAGAGCCACCTTTTGCAGCAATTACAGCTGCAAGTCTCTTGGGGTATGTCTCTATAAGCTTGGCACATCGAGCCACTGGGATTTTTGCCCATTCTTCGAGGCAAAACTGCTCCAGCTCCTTCAAGTTGGATGGGTTCCGTTGGTGTACAGCAATCTTTAAGTCATACCACAGATTCTCAATTGGATTGAGGTCTGGGCTTTGACTAGGCCATTCCAATACATTTAAATGTTTCCCCTTAAACCACTCGAGTGTTGCTTTAGCAGTATGCTTAGGGTCATTGTCCTGCTGGAAGGTGAACCTCCGTCCCAGTCTCAAATCTCTGGAAGACTGAAACAAGTTTCCCGCAAGAATTTCCCTGTATTTAGCGATATCCATAATTCCTTCAATTCTGACCAGTTTCCCAGTCCCTGCCGATGAAAAACATCCCCACAGCATGATGCTGCCACCACCATGCTTCACTGTGGGGATGGTGTTCTTGGGATGATGAGAGGTGTTGGGTTTGCGCCAGACATAGTGTTTTCCTTGATGGCCAAAAAGCTCAATTTTAGTCTCATCTGACCAGAGTACCTTCTTCCATATGTTTGGGAAGTCTCCCGTGTGGCTTTTGTCGAACACCAGACGTGTTTGCTTATATTTTTCTTTAAGCAATGGCTTTTTTCTGGCCACTCTGTAGAGTGTACGGCTTAAAGTGGTCCTATGGACAGATACTCCAATCTCGGCTCTGGAGCTTTGCAGCTCCTTCAGGGTTATCTTTGGTCTCTTTGTTGCCTCTCTGATTAATGCCCTCCTTGCCTGGTCCGTGAGTTTTGGTGGGTGGCCCTCTCTTGGCAGGTTTATTGTGGTGCCATATTCTTTCAATGTTTTAAATAATGGATATAATGGTGCTCCGTGGGATGTTCAAAGTTTTGGATATATTTTTATAACCCAACCCTGATCCGTACTTCTCCACAACTTTGTCCCTGGCCTGTTTGGAGAGCTCTTTGGTCTTCATGGTGCCGCTTGCTTGGTGGTGTCGCGTGCTTAGTGGTGTTGCAGACTCTGGGGCCTTTCAGTACAGGTGTA